GCCCACACTTACTCTGTGTGGGTGGTGTTATGGATGTTGCATGAACGGTTAAAATATCTACAGAGATACAAGCCCTCAGAAGAAAGAAACATAGTTAGAGTTTAGAACATAATGAAATTTTGCTGGACAATAAACTGGCACAGAAATTACAGTGATAAACGATAGTATTTTCATTTAGAGACCATTTTATTATTATAATGGCATTGGCATAATAATGTAAGAACACCTTTTCAAAGACCTACTAGCAACATTTCTCAAGATGTCGTCTTATCCACAGTATTAAATTTATGGGTGTAAGGGCAGTGTGAACAGCACTGCGCTTACACATGATTATGTTTTAGGTTCAGATTCATGTTTGTTGTATTGCAGGTTTTAGTTGCTACTTTTTAATAGCAAATGCGCCATACTGGGTCAAGCTGTTCCCCACAGCCATTCAGTTGAATCCAAAGTGCTCCTACAGAGGGTCTTGGCTCTAAAACCTTTTCTCTGGCTCTCTACTCCTCATTAACAGTGATCTCATGCTACACTCTGAGGTATATCATAAGACCATGTGCCCTGGAAGTACCTGACGCAGTAGTTTATTCCTCTCTACGCTAAGAAAAATGGAAATGCCAATAATAGAGTCTGCAGGTAAAACCCGTGGCATCTGCACCCATGTAACACACCCCATCTGCTATTTTATGCAGAAATAAAAGCTTATGAAAGTTTCCTGCGTTTGGAATGTAGGAAGATATTTGAAATGTTTGTAGGGAAGAGAGCAGTCCCTTAAAGTCAGCCTCAAATGTTGATTGCAATATATATGGCTTACTAAAGCAAGTTTTACTTTTACAAGAAAAGTCTAGGAACTTGGCAGACTTTAAGCGCTGCAGTCAGTGCATTTCACAGCAATTACAGAATCAATAGGCTACTAATGCTTGGGAAAAGGGGGCTAATGAGGGCGTAAGATAAAAGGCAGGTGGCACACAGTGCATTGAAAAATGTGTAACAGCCTGCTGATAAGCAATCTGCTGAGAAGAGGGAATGAAAGGCTTTTGGTGTTAGACTCATAACCCTTCTTTGCAACCTTTAGATTCTGCTTCTGCAGCTCCTCTGCAGTGTCTGTCTGTTCTCTGATGGGCTTAGTCGGAGTATTGGAGAAGGAGCAGAGGACCACCGGCTGTATTGAATCTCTATTAAACCCACTTTATTACTATGCATTTCCAGCAGATATTTGCAGCAATTATACATGTTTCTAGTCAATATTTTCCTGATTATCACTGCCTAGGGGCAGAGCTAGAAGGAGATCTAGGGCAGGCTGTTGTCACTCCTACCCAATCACGGGCCATCCCAGGGATGAATTTACCTAACACTAGTATGCAGTGTTTGACACTACACATCATTGTGTAGTGTCCCATTCACACACTAATGGATACAAGTTACACTGTAACGCTGCCCTCTGCAATTGCAATTGCAACATTTTTTTTGCCCTAAGTGCCATACCGGCTCGGACGTCGCCCGGTTAACAAGGTCCGCGTCAGTTGCTAGGGAACCAGGGCAACTTGAAGACAAATTGGCTACTGGAACAAGACAAAGATGGACTAGAGCAGATATATATACATACATATATATATATATATATATATATATATATATATATATAGATATATTTTGTTTTTGTTTTATTATTTTGCTTTGCTTGGTAGAATTTAATATTTATTTTGTTTAATAATTTCATCCAAAGGAAATTCTCTGTACTGCCTCTTCATCCCTATACACAGCTATATTGCCTCTCCCTGCTTCTATTGTGGACCTATAAAATAATATACGGACTACCTTAAACCTGCTTAATTGCTGACTATTTTAAGGATATCTGTCCTCATATAAATGCTTCAATATCATCTCTTTAATATTTTTTGCCAACTCTGGTGAATTTATGACAGCTTATAACCCTTGATCCAGCAAAGATAACACTTACCGACTGCACATTTCATCATACCAAATTATGAGTAGAAGATTTATTAATTTAGATGGCTGGTGATTAAATGAAACACCCCCCTACATGCTGTCAAAAGGTTGGTACAATACATCGCAGGGTAGGAAGTAGGCTACTACTTTGAAAATATTATTAGAAAACCAAAACTCCAAAGAAACAAAAGGCTGATGGAGTGAAATGTCCAGCACCTAATCCAGACTCAAATGTTTTTTTGTTTTTTTTTAATCAAATTTACAGATTAGAACACTTTCCTAATATTTTTGTTTCTTATATATGCAGCTATTGCTCTTTGAATCCCAGCTGGTAGCTTTCTGAGTGCACATGGCATTATCTAGTTCTCCCCATGCGTACCTGGGTCCTCTCCAGGTTATCCTCCCTTCTTGCACCTTCCAATAGAACTGTTCTAAGTAGGGGTATAACAGCAACCCATGACATGAGTTTTCACAATCTGAAAGGTAGCAGAATAGTTCCATTAAATTGAAATCTTTAATATGAGGAGTTGTTTATTTTATTTTGTAGCTTATCTAAATTAACCCTTAATGTGGACACTCTAGGTCTATATTTAAGAACAGAATTTGAAGGAAAGATGGAACGTAATTCTTTCTAGTTGCAAACAAATTTGGCCTTTGAAGATGAGGAAACATGGCTGGAAAAGCATCATAGAAGTTTCCACCAGCTTTAAACTATTATATTTTAGGTATTCTGCAGAAGAAGAGAATGTGATAGAGCAACTAATAAGATGCAAATTATTTTTTTTTTGTCTGAAAGAATATTGAGTCTGGTCTACTGGTCTTTAAGGATGCAAAAGTTCTCTCTCTGCCAGGGGTTCTGATTAGGGCTCAGTAAAGGACTAATAAACCATTTTTAAATAACCAGACTTTAGTTGGGTGCCTCTAATTCAAAAGCTAAAACTGTTTTCATGTCTAGTGTTTTTAATCCATTTAAAACAAACTGTGGTTTGATTGAACACAGCAATAAAATGATTTAGTTGGTATAGTAGCCAGACAGATTCATCAAATTCATCAAATTCTCTGTATTTCTACCTCCAGCCAGTAAGCAGACTGGATGCTGAAGCGTGGTGAGGGACCGCTTTGTTTGCTTGGAGTCTAACCCGTGTGAAAACAAATGACCAGAGGAATTTACAAGCTAACAAACTCATCAACTGATTCAGAGAAATGTCATTGAGCTATAGGCGTGAAAACGCCCCAAAATATTTAAAGAAATCCAACCTGATCCTGATTAATCCAAAAAGGGCAGGGATTCTTTAAAAGCAATGTTTAGGAAACCAAATATAATTTTTTTATACAAAATAAAGCTTTTATAATCTTCTGTTGTAGCATTAGAACTCCTCAGAGGATAAACAAGGAAGCAAACCTAATCACTAAATAATAGAAACTGTGAAAGATGGACTTTTCCACATAGACCAAAGATCTTTGGGAACTATTTTGTAAGCATTAACTGAAACAATTTCTGTTTAATGTAAATTTTTCAAATTTTCCTAAACTCCACTGTTCAGACAAAAAGAGTTGTTATAATATTTATGGATATTAGTCATAAAATTCTTTGTTATTACTCTTTAATAAAAAAAAAAACGAAATCATCAAAATGAGTTAGAATTTATCTCATTTAGTTTATTAGGTTTATTTCAAAACATTTGATTGGTATTTTTACCCTGATTTACTGATTAAAATCCACCCAAAACTAGTTGTGCCCAAACTGTTAAAGCATTTTTATGTGCTGGATGTTTTATCAGTGTTTGATGGTTAAATAATCTGTTATATGAACCCCAGTTATGTCATTTAAATGACCAGATCAGGTTATTTTAAACCCAGCAGTTAGAGAGTATAAAGTTGTCTTTGGCTGTGTTTGTTTTTTTAGGGAAAGGGGGGCTCATATGACACAGTATGGCTCCATGGGGGTCTGCGTCCCCAGGCAGCAGGAAAAACAGGCCCTGAGTCTCATCCGGAGCTCCCTGTTGAACATGAAGCTGATGATGGGGTTGGCCCCCGCCTGGGCGAAGCTCATCCACACCGCAGCAGTCAGGTGGAGCTCGGGGACAGGGGCCCCACGCACGAATATCCTCAGGTAGCAGGCGCTAATATAAGGAGCCCACAGAATGAGGAAGGCCAGTGTGATCAGATAGAACATCTTCCCGATGCGCTTCTCCGTCTTGAACTCGTCCAGCACCAGCAGCCTCCTGTTGCCCAGGTGGGAAGCCTGCCTGATGCCCACCAGTGTCGGCGGCGTGGGTCCGCGTCCGAAGCCGGCGATCCAGTTGGCGGCGGCCTGCCCGGTGGCTCCGGGCCCGTGGAAGGTCCAGTTCTGGCTGATAGCCGGAACCAACTGGGCCGGCTTCATTTTACGGTGATCGTAAACGAAGCACAGCATCTTAATGTAAACCACGTGGGTGGTCCCCACGATGACCACCAGCATCAGCATGAAGCCCAGCGTGTCGTTGGACTTGACGTAGCGGTGCTCGAAGGTGCACTGCTCCTCCTCGCGGATGAACTTGTAGGTGCCCACGTCGAACACGGGCGGGAAGGCCATGGCCACGGAGAGGGTCCACACCATGCAGATCACCGCCACGCAGGTGCACAGGTTCACGCGCTTGGAGTAGAAGCGGTGGTGGGCGATCGCCATGTAGCGGGTGACGCTGACGCAGAAGAGCAGGAAGGCGACGTGGAAGCAGAAGAGCACCGACATGAAGGCGACGATCTTGCAGCTGAGCGCGCCGTACGGCCAGGCGGAGCCGGCGCCGATCGACGCCATGACCAGCGGGAAGCAGACGGCCGAGCGCAGCACGTCCGCGACACACAGATCCAGCAGGAAGAAGTAGGGGGCCTTGTGCAGAGAGCTGTCCTTCAGCAGCAGCAGCGACAGAGACGCGTTTCCCAGCAGACTCATGGCCATGATCAGCCCCAGGGACGCCAGCTTGAGCGCAGAGGCCGTGGACGCGTAGCCGTGGAAGGACGCGCTGCTCTCCCCGAACTCGCTAGTGTTTGCCATGGATGCAGCAGCAGTCAGAGCGGATCCCCCCATCAAATCATCCCCCCACGCCTGTCCGTCCACGGCTGATTGGAAAACAAAACCAACACAAAAAAAGAAATAATAATAATAATAAAGTCTAGTTATAAATCGCCTCCATCTCGATGTGCTGTAATCCTCTCAGTTTTTTTCTTCCTCTTCCTCTTCTTATCCTTCATCTCCAAAGCATCTGGAGGAAAAAGCCTCCTTCTCCTCTCTGTCTTCCAGCGCGGTGGAGGAGAGGCGGCCTGCTTTTAGGGGGCGTCAATCCGCTCACTGAGCGCATCTCTGCTTCCCACCGATGGCGGCGGAGGAAAATCCACGCAGCGTCCAAGAGGAGCGCTTCACGGGAATCACGCATGCCCAGCCCAGCTGACCAGCAGCTTAACTGACCTAAATGAGCGGGGTTTCTGTTTCCTTTCCCTATATTTTCCCCTCCTGGCATGAAGCGGAGGTGGAGGGTTCGGGGCGTCGCTCGCAGCAGGAGCAGCAGCGTCTCTGCTCTCAATGCGACGCACGTCCGCTGCGATCCAGTGAGCAGGCCTGGGATCAGTGTTTATACCGGGGTGAGGCAGATGTTACTGGAGACATGCATGGGCGGTTCTAAACAGGGGCCAACGGGGGCCTGTGCCCCTGTAGATCATCTCCTGGCCCATTATGGCCCCTGTACCCAGGGGCGGAGCTAGATGGGGGACCAGGGGTGGCCATGGCCACCCTTACCCTATCATTGGCCAGCCCTGCAATTTTTTACCTCTAAAGGGCTGGTTATGCTCCTGCAGCAGTGTGTCGCAGTGAGCTTTATGCAGACATTTTTTATTTATGCTCAATATTAATTAGATAAATAACTACTTTAATAATAACTTAACCATTCATTAAATATGGATATTAGTACATTTAAATATCATTTTTTTGCAGAGTGATTATTGATAAAAGTAAGTAATGACAATGTAAAATTTGTTCACCCAAGAACTCAAACTTGAAAGAATTTTGTCCACTATACCTTTAATTTAGACAGCATGGATGTTTAGATATCTGTGTCTATTTGTTAGCAACAATGTAGGAAAGTATGGATAGTCTTTATTTAGAAAATATAGATGATATAGATGCTCATTCCTGTTGGAACAGTGTAGACTGACCCTGAGGTTCTGGCGCCTTTCAGCCACCCCTCAATGTGCATTGGTTATTGACTGGCCACCCCTATTAGGATTTTCTGGCTACACCTCTGCCTGTACTGAAGACATAATACTAAAAGATATTCTAATGATGATATGCACTGGAACAGACATGGTTACTGATAGGTCCTTTGGATCTGCTTAATGTTTTTTTTTTTTCAAAACAAAAAAAAACAAATACTCTACTATTATACTCTTTTTTTTAGTTCTCATTCTGATTTTATAGAAAACTGTAATTTTTAACCCTCACTCAGTGAAATACTTTGAAAATTAACATTTCAAGCCAATAGTGTTATTGGAATCCAGGACAAGACCTTATTACCTTTGTAACATTCAGAAAATATGGATATTTTGATGGTAAAAAATGAATGTCAATGTAATAACAAGAAAAGCTAACTTGCCTAAATATATTAAGAAAAATAACAAAAGTGATTCTATAAGAAATTTATAAAAAACACTCTGAGAGTGAAAGAAACACTTTTTTTATTACAACATGACCTTAGAGGCATTAATGCTGATACTGGCACTTACATTCTGTAGTTTATAAACCTAAATATAACTGTTAACTATAGGAATATTAACTTTTTAACATTTCAATTTGCTTTTTACCTTTTTTTCTTGACTTGTTAACTTTTTTTCAACTTAATTTACTGTAGGTAGTATATCATTCAATTGGTCAAATGCCAAAATAAGATGTACAGCTATGTAGCAGTATCTTTACTGAATGGCTGGATATAGATAGATCTGGTGCAGGTCTATAAGCAATGCACTCAAGGAAAAAAAACATCAGGAACATTTCATTCATCAAGTTTTTGTCATCTATTTAGGATTAAGACTGTGCAGGTTCAGTTTACAAGACTGGTTGCAATATTTTAAAGAGAATTGTTGTCATGATTGACACTGGTGACTGGCTTAATTATTCATTCCATTCACCTGTCCAACTCTGCTCGGTTTCTAATCACTGCTCATCTGATCCACCTGCTCCACCTGCTCCTGCCCCTATTTAGGGCGCTTGCATCCAATTATCAGGACCAGATTATTCTCGTTCTCCTGCACCAATGGTGAGAGGTTTTTTAGTGTACCTGATGTGTTTCTGATTACCTGATTTTGTCCTGTTCTGCCTCTCAACCACTGAGCCAGTCTGTTCCTGTCTGAACAGTTTGCCTGAACTGTCTTTGGACTCCTGGACCTCTGAACCTTCCTGTTCTGTCTTGCCTTGAATACTGGGTCCAGGTTTTCCATGTCTGGTGATGAATGATAAAGATTTTTCAAGCTTATACTCAGAACACTTTGACCATTGTCTACTTTAAAAAAATAAGGCAACAAAGTGACAGATAAATATAATTGAATAGGTTTTAATTACTTCAACTTTGATTAAAAACCACTGATTTAATTAAGCAAATTTAAACAAAAATTTGAAATACAAAATAATGAAATCATTGGTTGAAATACTTTGGATTTACTTATAATATGGCAAATGTTGAGTAAATCCAAATCAATTATACAGGGAAAACTGATTAATATTTACTATGTATCCGAAAGAAATAAATTTAGATATACCAAATATTTGTTAAAAAGTGATTAAGATTTACTAATTAATTATTTGGAATTAATTTATATTTATTAATTATGTGGATTAAATTGATTTTATTTACTAAATATCTGGATAATATTGATTTATATTTAATAATTATATGCGTGAAAATGATGCTATCTCCCTAAATATCTGGATACAAATGATTTAGATTAAATAAATAAAATAAGCTACATCAACTCATAACCTGGAACAATGTTACTTAATTCAACACATTTAAACTGAAATTGTTATTTATTTTTACATAAATTAATTGTTCAATTGAACTTATAATTGGTAGCACATTACTTAAAATCTATTTAATGTTATTGATTGTCACTTTGTTGCCATATATTTTTTATGTAGAATCTACTCAATATAATGTGTTCTTTGCAAGAATTTACAGAAGGGCAGTTAACAAATGACCATATTTAGAACAGCAGCAGCTAAACATTTATTTGTAAAACTTCGTTTACGCATGTATTTTGAACATTTTTCGTGTAAAATGCCAAAATACAAAGAAATCCTGGTTTACACAACAGAATTACAACGACAAGTCCCTCAAATAAGTATGGCAAAATATATTTAACAAAGGCACTTGCTATTTGAGGCAGGCCAATTGAACAGGTAGGCTCCTCAGATCAGTGTCAGATCAGTACAGCTTGTGCTCACAATTACCAGGGGCACAAAACAGAGGTAAAGACTCAGCAGTACTACTGTCCATCTTCATATTTTAGCTGTGGATTGCTGTTGCAAGAACCAGAAGAATCATGAAAAACAAGAGGAATGTCTGGTTTTGCCTCTGTGAAAGTGGACTATGTCACTGGCATCCATGTCCTAAGGTGGGGGCAAAGTGTTCATAGTCCATCAAGAAACTCTTGTGTTATCAAGACACAACTTTCACTGTCCTGGTTATAGTGCAGCATTATCATTTACTTGTTACTTCTGGAACACCAAGCTACAAAAAACATCACACCCTTCAGATGAGTATGGATAACTTTTTTTTTTTTTAACTTGAACACTTGAACACACAGAATAACTGAGCACACCAGTGTATTTAGGCTCCCTTTCTTTAGCCAGTAGCTTGCTCTTGAGGCTGTTCACTTTTGGAGAAAGCTTTGAACAGTCCAGCTCCAGGAAGAGTTTCTGAAAGGCTTCGAAAGTGTACCTGAGCTCCTTGGGATAAGCAAGATTCACTGCATACGTCAAACCAACAAGCATGGCAGAAGCTCTTGAAAAGTTACCCAGAGCGGTCAGAACCTTTGTACCATCTATTACAATTCCGATGTCCTCTGTACCCTCTGACAGATTAGTCTGGATGCTGTAAATTTTCATCCTTTGTACAGCAAGGTCCTGTGGCACACTGTCTTTATCTGCATCCTAAAATAATGAGAACATTTTGTATTTTAGACTGTGCAGCTAAAGGAGATGGTCCTTAATAAATAGAGATTGAAAGAGATATAGAGATTTAGTAAGTACAATACATACCTGCGGTCTTTAAGTGTTGACAGATAAGTGTTGGTAGATTCTTTATACACCTAGAAAAAATGCATAGTTTTAATTCATTTGGATGAAATTATATTTTAAGCACAAACTCAGAAGAAGGAATATATGAAATTCAGCCAAACAAGCAACAAAAGTTTACACTTGCTTTTGTATGTACAGTTTGGTCCATGATTATTTGGATGGTAGATTAATAGACTTGACTGTGATAGACTGTCACACACAACGACTGTCATATACACACTCAAATCCCCTTTCTTTCCCATACTGATGCTCGGTTTGAACTGCAGGAGATTGTCTTGACCATGTCTACATGCCTAAATGCACTGAGTTGCATATATACATATATGCTTTTAAGTTTACAGGTTCCTGGTGTGTATATGCATGTGTCAGATAATGAACTGTTAACATTACCATGTTAATATGCTTTTCATGGAAAAATATTAATTGTAATTTTAAAAATCTTGCTTTTGAAGTAGTCCACTCTCATCTCAACATTGGAATTTTAAAGTTGACAGTACGTACGTAGTATGACCAATCAAATTTTTGTGTGACATTCCAAGAAATAAGGCTGGGCGATACAGCTGAATAATCTACTCACTGATTTTTTTTTTACCTACAGAAATCTATTTTTCACTCCTTTAGTTTGACAATAGACAAAGTCAAATGACAAAGATTACTTGAGAAAAAACATTTTATTTCAATCATCCCCTCTGGAAAGGTGGCCTGGTGGAAAAAAAGAAATTCTACATTTTCCAGAAATTAAGTCTTCACAAAAAGAAAAGATTAATCAATAAAATCAGTTAAACGACTCTGCCCGACCCAAATATGTTGTTAAAAATATTTACTCTGTTTAAAGGGCTTATATCAGGCAAAATCAACTTTTTTTCTTAGCTTTAAGGATTCATTTTTTTTTTTTTAACCAGTCAAATTGACATGTTTATGGTATGAAATTTGAACTCAGGTCTCAGTTCAATCAGCTTAATATTAAAGAAAAGAGAGAAAACATAGAATTTTGTTCAGCAATCTAAAAGCTGTTTGAGTCTGGCTGTTTTGCTCTGGATGCTCCTCAGCTGCTTGCTCGAAGGCAGAGGCTTTCTGACCAGACAGGAAGTGTTGGTGAGGTCACTGGATAAATGCACGTCCAGGGACCTGTGGCTGGACACCACCTCCACACCTGTGCCTCTGAGTAGGATCCTTGTTCTTTCTAAAATCCACCATCTCCTTAGTCTTCTTCACATTGATGCAGAGCTTACTGTCTATATATCAGGTGTTCAACTTCCTTGGTGAAGGAATTTCTGCTCTCCATGTGGGTGAGCTCTGAGTGGACTGTTGATGAGAAGGCATCAGTGGTGGATCGGTTCCTCCA